CCGCTTCGACCGGGCGTCAGACCCGAGCGCGACTGCTTGGCCCGGCCGGTCCTGCCCCTGTGACCAGGCCTTGGGAGCGGAAGGCCGCGATTACTGAAAGCGTGCTGTGCCGTCCCGTGCGACGGCGTCAGGGCCAGGCTGCAGTCGGTTCGCTGCTTTGTGGAAGGAGGAAGCAGGACCTTTACCTGCTGCCTGCAGAGCTTGGGCTGCCACTAGCACTGAGGCCTTCGTTGGCCGAGCGTTAGAGAGAGAAGGCTTTAGGGCTCGGGTTCTGACCGTGGTCAGTATGATGCAGTGTAGTAGACCTTTTATTTAGACTGTTTGCGTAGTTATTCACCTTTCTTATAAACGTCTGCGCTAAGCAGAGTGCTTTTAAAGAAAAGAAATAGGCTAGAACTTAAAAGAACGAAAGTCAACTCAGCTTCATTTTAAAGAAAATGGCTTGCCTAGGAATTCATGTAAGTCAAGGAAAACTAGCCTGAGATAAAAATAGCAAGTCCTAAGAATATAGGAAGATTGAAAAAGGCTTGGGATGGTAAGGTTGAAGCTAAGCAGACCGGCGAACTCATCAGAAAGATTCATAGAAATTAAATGTTCCATGTGGCAAGTGGCAAATTTCACGCTGGGATAAAATATCGGTGCTCTGTCAGGCAGGTTTAAGTGAAAAACGTAACTAATAAATAATAGCTGAAGACACCTGCGCTAGCAGCCATTCTTACCGCAGGTTAACGCAGTGATGATAACTAGAAGAGTGAAACTTCTGCATGTAATTTCAAAAGAGGGGTGGGTTAAGGTACGGACTCAGCAGATGGTGAGCAGAGTCCGGGCTGTGTTGGCCGGGTTTCTTGTAAAGCTTTGAAGTGCAAGCTGCGGCTTGTGTTCCACACATCCTGTGATTGCCCCCGGCAGCGCCGGTGTGAGGACTCAGGGTGCTGACGCTGGAGGCAGAAAAGCAGCCTGCTACTACTGCTCTAGTTCAAGGGTGAAGGACAGAGGCATTTGATCCTGAGAGGACCTATTTTAAACAAGGCTTGACTGTAGTGTTGCGCACCAGTGTGCTGAGGTCTCAGGGCAGGTCTGCTAGGTCATGAGAGGAAGCGGTTCCCCACTGAGCAGGAGCGATCTATTGGGTTCAATAGTTTGAAGCTGCTGATTCTCAGAGAACAATAATCCTTCGACTTTCAATAATCTGCAGACTTTCACTTGGGACTATCACCTCTGCTTATCTACATACAGGTGACCTCTAATAACCTTCCAAGCAGCAGTCCAGACATCAAGAAGTAAGAAAACACCTTTAATTGTTTTTTTTTTTTGCATATTTATTTGGAACAGGGCCTCACTATTCAGCTCAGACTCACAGTGATCCTCCTGCTGGGATTGCAGGTGTGTACCACCATGCCCAGTTTTGTTGGCTGGCACTGAGTTCCGGAGCTGGCCTGGTGTGTGGTACTGGGGATGGAACCCGGACCCCTGGCACTTGCCAGGCAGGCGCTTAGACCGCTGAGCTATCGCCCCAGCCCAAGAACACACCTTTAAAAGCCAGTGCTTATGCTAAACTTCAGAAGATTTTTCTGTCCTGCAAACCAAGATATCTCCTTGGAAGGAAGTTATTCTTTTAACCACTTATGCATTCTTGATGTCATCAGGTTAGGCAGGACTTTTCATCAGTGTATTTCAGATGGAAAAACCAATAGCAGGAAAATAAAGAAGGTTCAACGAATATAAAGAGGAAGGTCCTAATAAAGGTGAGTGACTGTGGAAGCTAATAAGCCAGAGAAATCTTTGTGAAGGTACCATTTATACCAATCAGTACATATGCAGAAGAAGTGGAAGATGTCATCATTTGCAGGCTTTTCAGATTGCCTGGAGCCATGGCTAGCTCTGATGCACAACACTGTTACCATGACAGTAATGGAATGATCAAATGCAATAATAGCAATCTACAAAATGCTAATTGTCAGAGTATACTGCTGCATCAAGTACATTTAATCGAGAGAGATACCTCAGGCCATAACCCAGGAGATGTCTCGATGTTCCTCTTGCGTTTCACAACAGCCTACTTTATATCCACAATCTTTCACCATTATTTTAGAATGGTAAGTATGTGTAAAGTTCTATGAACATATAATTTATAGTGCTTATTGTTCAGAACTAAACCATATCTATTTTGGAAAACAATTTTTTCCCTTAAGGCATGTATTTATTTTACCAAGAGTCTTAGACAAATTTTAATAAATAATAAAAATCTAACAGCATCAGTGTCTCATAATTTCTCCAGGAGTTCTAGACAGGAGTTTCCAATGAGTAGTCAAGCTTGTCATAACAAGCATCTCCAGGAATCCAGCCTAATGACCAAGTCCAAAGGCCAGTAGCTGTGTGTGGGCTCTTATATCCTATACACAGCAGATAAAGAAACTGTCACCTGCCTAGAAGCTACCATGAATGTGCAAGTGAATGTAGCGGAGTCAGAAGTAAACATGAAACCATCAAATCCAACTGCTAACCCTAGGACTTTCTCTGGGAAGTTTTCTAAGTTTTGAAATCAGCTTTGTAAACAGAAGTGTCCATTTGAAACAGTTCTCTCTGTGTTATGTCATTTTCTCTTTCCTTTCCATGCCTAATTTTTATCAATTCAGATACAGACCTAGCTAACATTGCTCAGGTAGTCTGCAGCTTAGTGATGGAGTCCCTTCCAATAGTATTTATTTTTGTGGGAGTCAGCATGCGTAATAAGATGCAGCAGACGGATTAGTCAAGAGTCAGTGGTGTATTTTCCATCTGCTGGCTGCCAGGAACTAAATTGATGTATAAAAGCCTGTAATAATTTGTTGAGTTTTCAGGGCGTAGTGCTGTGACTACCTCATGCATTGGTACCTGAGTTTGAGAAAATGCTTTTTTTCGTCAAAACTTGTTAAATTCCTCTTGCTGTTTGGTGGTCTGAATACAAATCACTTGGGAATTGGAAATGAGTAGGGCCACTGTTGCCTTGTGGTTGTCTAGAACATGCTGAATTCTGAAGTGAGACCAAAATAGCTTAGGAAAGGAGAATTTAATCTGGCTAGAGACAAGGAATGGAGTATAAATAAATCTTAAAGGTTGATTATGCATGCCATGGCAAAAACTGTCACTGGACAGATTTAATTTATAGAGTTGGCATTTAGGCTGCAGATAATCCAGACAGTGACCTAAGCAACAGTTGTCAGCAAGCCTTACATAAGGAGAGCTGTTCTTGAACAATTTCCAGCAAACATAATAACTAGTTAACAAGAGCTGCAGGAGCGGTGCTTCCCCCTACCCTAACGCAATTGCCTTTGAGCTGGGCACGTTGAAGAAACATTGCCACCTAAGTGTTCTGTTGTTCATTATTGGAAGAGAGTGAACATAAAGGAGTGTAGGTGCTTTGATTTTTTTGGGTCTTTTTCAGTGATACTTCCATTAATTTCTCTTTCAGTAATAATTTTTTTTGGGGGGAGGCTTGCTCAGGATGCCTTCAGGGCAGGCCTGGTTTGGCTTGAGGATGAGGGGATCGAAGCACAGCACCCTGAGCCTGACTGCTTTGTTTCAGCAGGCACTTAAACACCTGAGCTAATGGCTAGGCCCCCTAAAATTTTTCTCTTACATGATTGGACACGTATTTTTCGTTAAAATTAACAGTCACAATTGAAGAAACAGTGGCTTATCTTTCTGATAAAGGGACCAAGCTGCTACATCTTAAGGCCTTGACAAATGTTGCTTCAACAAAATAAAATGAGACCTTTTATTTTGATTATTCCTGGTGAGCAGCAATTTTGTTTTTCTTTTTTTTTTTTTTTTGTATTTTAGGGAAGGGTCTACAGGATGTTCAGGGTCTCACTACTAGATCAGACTCCTAGTGATCCGACTGTTTACAGCCTCCCAAGAGCTGGGATTACAGGCATGTTGTCACCACACCCAGTCTCAGTTGCAGGCTCATCGTGCCCCAGGGGCGGGGCTGGCACAGCAGGCCCAGGGATCCAAACGCCCTGCCCCTGCGCCAGCTTGCAGGCATTTTAATCCGCTGCATTATTTGGCCCCCTGCAATTTTGTTTTTCCAGTGGTTTCTATCTGCCAAATAGTCATGACAGTTGTTTTGACATGGGGCCCACTGCTTCCAGAGATTCTACCAGGTTGATCCTCTTTCCCAGTGCCACACAACCTCCACTCAAGTTCATCCACTGGGACTTCTCTATTGAGGGTGGCGGAGAAGTCCTGTTTCAGCTGTCAGGGCTTCATTCTGCTGAATATGGTATTCATGGTATTCTTTGTGTCATTTTTAAGTATTTCTGTAAGCAATGTTCTTAACAGGTGTCTTTTCAGATTTTACTTCTCTTGTGAAGTCTTTAACGCAGTTGAAAAAGCAGGTTTCTGTAAGTTTATTGTAGATTCCCAGGAATTCCCTGAACTGTTTTATCTGATCATATTCTGATATCTGTGCAGCCTTATTCTTTTCGTATATTTATGAGTCACCTTTTTTTTTTTTTTTTTTTTTTTTTTTTTTTTTTTTTTTTTTTTTTTTTACAGTAGAAAAAAGATTTTTTGTGCTACTGGGGACTGAACTCAGGGCCTTGTGCTTGCCAGACAAGTGCTTATTCTACTGGGCTATATTCCTGACCCTCCTTGCCTAATTTTCTAAGTCATACTGTAGGCTTTTCCTACTTCCACAAGCCCATAGTGTTCACTGGGGCTTTACTCTTCGGCCTCTTGGCTGCACATTCTGCTCTTCACAGGTCGTCACATATGTTGAAATAAAATATAAATCATAATTTACATAATTTTAATATGAAAACAATTAAAATAGAAAACAAAATATTAACACTGTGGTAACTGACATCCCAGTGTTTCATGGATGTCATTGAATAATGTGTTAATTTTTTTTCTCATCTTCCTACTATTTTCTAATTTCTTTCCAGAAATGCTTTTTGTGTTGGGGAAAAATCATTTCAAATGAATGTTGAAAGAAAATGAAAAATATCAAGTATTTTCAATAGTTTCTGAATGTCAAGGACTACTATTCAGAAAATGAGTATCTACAATGTTATAGACACAAGAAATTTGAAACATTAGATTGTTTTTATGTTGGCTGCTTAGGAGTGGAAAATGTCAGCTGTGGAGATAGCTCAGCAGTCTAAGAGCCTGCCTACCCAAGCGTAGGGACCCGCATTCAATCCCTGGTGCCACATGCCATGCCGAGCCCGGCCGCCAAGACCTGGCGTGGTGGCACATGCCTGTAATCCCAGTGCTGGGGAGGCTGAGACAGGAGGATCACTACGAGTCCAAGCTGCGTAGTAAGACCCTCTATCAAATACATAAAATTAAAAAGATATATAAAATGTTATTTTGCAGACAGAAATGGAGAGAATTTACTCAAGAAGAGGCTGTTCTGACAGATCCATGCACTCATAATCTCTGCAGCAAAGTTGAGTCTCCAGGTTGCCCTAGCCTGGCTCAAGCTGTCAAAAAACATTACCACTATTCTTGCTCTGGTTCCATGTTCCTGCAGCCTTAACCTAATTATGATTTACCTTTATTGAAAGTCTAATGTGGGATGCAAGAATTGAATGTTTAACCACAGAGAAACTCCCTGAAAATTTGAGCTAAAGGTACGAAAGATTATATTCAGAGAACTAAAGGAGAAACTGGTGCAATGGAAATTTTTATATGCACGTTCGAGGCTGCACGCTATGAGACTTTCTAACTGTACGACCAACATTGGGAAACATCAAAACCCAAGGTGACTTGGGGACACTCAGAGAGCAGTCCCAGTGGAACTGTAAGACAGGACTGAGTCAATGTTGCAGTATCTGGAGGGACTCTGTGGAATAGAATGAGGGTGTAATTGGGTGGAGACTGTTGGGAGTTTAAGATTAATTCATGATGGAGGCTGGGATTATGGGTTTAGTGCTGCTGGGATTATGGGTGTGAATGCTACACCCACCCAGCCTGAGGCAGATAGCCTGAGTGTAACACAAGACAGACAGACTTCCTCTCTGTTGCCATTGTTGCTCCTCCTCCCTTTTGCTCTCTGCTCTTTGCTGCCAGCAGGAAAGGTTGCTTTCTGTCATGTGCCGCTCTGCCTTGAAGCCAGCTGAGTATGGACTGAAATCTCCAGTAACTGTGAGCTAAATAAACTTTTCCTTTCGTTTTGGGTGTGAGGTATTTGACCCAGCAACGAGAGAAGAGTAACTGGCACAGCCTCCATGGGTTTGAAAGTTGTCTGCATTTCTTGGCTTGTTATTAGGGAGGAGGCTTTTTTGTGTTGGTACCAGAGATCGAACTCAGGACCTTGTGCTTGGCAGGTAGATGCTTATGCCATGAACTATCTATCTCCCCAGCCCCCACTGCTGCTGTAGATGCACCTTACTCTGTGAGCGTTGGCATTTTCTGAGAGCTAATTGTGCTGGTAATGTATTTTATTATTTTAAAAAAATTATTTTTTCGTTTTTTAAAATTTTTTTTATTTTTTATTTTTTTGGCAGAACTGGGGATTGAACTCAGGCCCTTGTGCTTGCCAGGGAAGTGCTTATTCCACTGAGCCATCTCCCTGGCCCCTATTTTTTCCTTTTTAAAAATTTATTTTTCATTTTCTTCTTTTTGAGATAGGGTCTCAGTCTGCAGTTCAGGCTGGCTTGAGCTAATTTTGTGGGCCAAGCTGGTCTTGAGCTTGCAAAACTCCTCCTGCCTCAGCCTCTCGAGTGCTGGGATTACAGGCATGCACCACCAAACTTGGCATTATATCACACACTGAATTAATCTTGTAAGTCTCTCCAGGTTGACATTATCTCCATCATAAAAATTGAGACACAGAGCTTCAAACCACTTCATCATACAGTCCTATGAAATGCAGCTAGGATGTAAACCCCAGTGTCCTGATGGAGGGATCCCTCCTTCATCACTGGGAAGCGGCTTCTTCTCTTGGCCTTCACTACTACACTGCCTTCACTACCAATAATATATATATATA